GATGAGCTGCGTCCTATCTAAATATAAAAAACATTATACACACATATAACTAAAGAACTTTTTGAGATAAATAATTAATAGTCATATGTAAAATACCCTTATGAAAAACAGCAGCCCAATCAACCAATCAACATCATGACTCATGAGATTTATTTTTAGTGTTATTGACAATTCATCTTTTACAAGTGGCAACTCATTATGGTTTAATGTGAGTGTTTCTGTTATTGATTCTTTGTATTATCTTAATGGTTGACAAAATAGTGAATAATTGATGATTATTATTATCATTATCGAATAATAGTAATTCGATAGTGGTGTTCTCTTTTCTTAATGATGTTGATGCAAATTATTAGTCCTCCATATTAATATATAGTGTAGTACAATTGTGGCAAGTGTTAGCATAAAGACTACTTATTTTCACAAATAATGTTCTATATTCTATGAAAAATGTACATTAACAAATTGTAAATTGGATGAAGAAATACAATGAATGAATGAATATGTGAGAAATGGATATATGTAGTGTGTGAAAATGAATTTGGATTCATATATACATTAATAGATAAGAATGATTATGTGTACGAATGGACTACCAAGTGATTAATTAAATCCAAAAATTCTAAAAATCAATCAACTCTTTAACATATCTATTAACACCAACTAAACTTTTGACGACACCAACCAACTTCATCAACTCATTAATTAGATGACTAGACTTTATCAAATAAGCACAATAACATGCATAAGCCGGCGTTTCAAAGTTATGTTTTGATAATCCGGACGCAGTTCTACTGATCTTATAACTTATTTTTCCAGCCAATCCAAATTTCGCATCACCAGATGCCACAATATTATAAGGTGGTAGACTAACACGATTTTCTAAAGCTGTCCCCAAGATATGAAATGCGGTCAAGATGTGTGTGACGTAGTGACATTTTGCTGGTGATAAAACATCAGCCAAGTCTGTTTTCCACTCTGTTCCATTCAAACTCAACAATTCGTGTTCAATTCCACAAACTAAATTCAACATGTTTTCAACTATATCGATCATCCTTTTATATTTTTCCTCGGGATAATTTCCACGTAATGGTGGTTCGTAAACTGTTCTTGACAATAATAATCGTGCAATGCCGATTGATCGATTGATTCGTGAAACCAACTTACGAAATGGTTTGGTTGTGCTTAGTGAATTGGATTTGGTTTCTTTTAACAGCGATGAGACAGTCATTGAATAAAGTACTCCTATGTCGGTTATTGTGTGTGCTAATCGATGTCTCACTTCTACTCTTCCTGCGTGTGGCCATGGGAACATTGTCATAATAAATGCAGCTGTTATACCAACAATTACTGCAGATGTACGCTAATAATATAAAAATTAATGAATTTATAATTATTATTTTTTTTTTTTTGTAAATAAAAATTTGCCGATCTTTTTATATAATGAATCGCACTATAGTGGAATTTTTTGCCAAAACAAACTCTTCCTTGTATCGAGCACCAACTTTATGCTGATGTGTAACACCCCAACGTCGCGTGGATCTGCTGTGATGAGACTAGTAGCCATATATGAGACATCCATCAAAAATCTGGAACAAATTTATTAATAAAATCTGTTATGAAATATGCTGTGGTGAAGTCTGTTGCAACAAGATTTGACTGTAAATCCTATGTAGGAAAAAACTTCCTAATGTTGGAAAGAATTTGAAAGAGAAATGGACTTTAACACAGCTTGCTTGAGAGAATGTGCAAAATGATAATACAGGTCACTCACGTTATAAGGATACTTATGGAACAAGCAAAAAATGTCTGTACAACGAGATGTTCTTATAACGGGAGTTCATATAAAATCACATGAAAAATGATAAAGATACTTTGTTACAATTCACAAACCCATTCTTGAAAATAATATATACTTTGTCACCACCCAAACAATTTGCGAATTTGATTATTTTAATTTTAGTGTTAATAATAATAAACTTGATGTAAGTAATTTGTGTTTAATGTGTTTAGTATCAGTAATATTAAAACATTAAAAATTAGAATTTATTGTATCTAATTTTGTCATAGTGATTTGAGTGATTTGATTGGTTCTCTCGTTGTACTGACATGTCCTTATAACGGATGTCACTATATTAATATATAACGGGATGAATTTTATAATTATTATTATAAAAAAATTTTTTGTCCAATTATGTCCTTACTCTTATAACGGGATACATAATGAATGCCATTATAACGGGAGTAAATTCTAATCCCTGCTGGCTATCACTAATGTCTACGAATATGGTTCATATATCTCATTATATCATATATTACCTTGATATAAATAATCTTTGATTTCTATGGCGGATGTCGTTGATGTCATTTGCAATTAAATCATTTATTTATGAGCAGAAGGCTGTGTGAAAAAATGACAGTTGGTAGTAGTTGTGTATGCAATAGATACCACGTGGGCATGCGTGAAACAGCTTTGTCATGAACAATGAGTTTCGTACATCTTCAACTTGTTCCTTGTGTGGTGGGTAACGGTCCCGTCCACTTTACAGACAGATACTTTACCAACAAGCATCGTGTTAACAATTCGCCAAGGACTGTGTGAAGACCTGAATAACTCTATGTAGAAACTAAAAGTTTGGTTTTTTACAGGCAAGTTAAATCAACTGTTCATCGAGTACTGACCTTGCACTACAAATAATTAACTCTATTATCTTACTTCACATCAAAAACCAGTTATAAAAATACAATATAGATACATGTGTAATTTTTTTTTTTTTGTCTGACGAAATTGATAAAAATTACATATTCGGACTTCATGTTATTTTTTTAAATTGTTTTTAAATAAATAAATCTTTTCTCTCGCATTTAATACTTTTAAACATAATTTCTTGAATTTTTATGAAAAAAAAAAGAGCAATGATTTGGAATGTTAAAATTCACACCTTTATTATATAAAAAATGTTAAAAAGCCCAAATTGCCAAAATAGTTCGAGCTTTGAGAAACAGTTTGGGCTAGAAACTTTACTTGATTGTTGGTAAAGTGACCTAGACCCGTGGATAATTTGATGTGTATCAAAAATTCTGGTCTGTCACGATAGTAAATGTGAACTGTGACCTGATATATTCATAAGAGGAGATATCTCTTTGATCGTAATAAAGGATGTTCAGTTGCATTAGCAGAAGCTACAATAAGCCAAGGGACTGACTGAACCTTCCGTGACTTTTAAACAGTATAGTGTAATGAATCATGGACCTTGCTTATTATTATCAATTGTTTTAATACTCACCTCGCACAATAGGGCCGGAAACAGCAAAATAAATAGCAGGTTCTGTTTGAAACTATAATAGTAACAGAGCCAAATAATATAGATTAATGAATAAATAACGAATACAATGAATTATTGTCCATATTTACAATTAATTGTTATTAACAATTTGTTTTCTTATTCAAATGGAGTGATTCAGCTAATAAATATAGGAAATACTTGGCTACGCATTACTTTATTTCCTATTGCATTTTTAATATATTTCTTATTTCTCAGTGAATGAAAATAAATGGTCTTGATGTTCATCCACTATAGGTAAAAAAAGAAAAGACCAACAAATTTGAATTCCTGGTACACAAATTTAAGTAAAAGCGTACTTTAAGGAAATTAAGAGAAAGAATCAATGAATTGATCACCGATTTGCGCACCCATTTTGGGGTACAAAAATATGGAAAACAATAATCTGGGGATCATATAGAAAATTTCCTAATCGGGAATAAATTTTTTAAAATTCTAATTTTGAAAAAAAATAATTTATTTAAAATTTTAATTACTTCCTTTATTTGTAGAAAAATTAATGGTTACATTAGAAGAATTTGTAATTTTTCCATTCCCTTCTATTATTTTTGTTTCCTTCCATACCACCTTTACCTCAAAATTAACAATGTTAATGTAGGCAAATTGATTATTATCAAAATATCTAATTGACCAATCCTCATTCATCACCAAGTAAATTTTCTAACCTTTTGTTACCTTCTTCTCCAATGAATGAACTTAAGTACAACCTTCTAGCAGGGTAATATCTTTCCAAATCATTTTTAAAAACGCCTAAAAACATACCCTCACTACATGGAATAGTTAATGTCTTTATCCCTAAACTTTTGTGATGTAATGTCAATTTTTTTTTAATATTGTAAATTAAACTTTCTTTAAATTGTATCAAGTAATATTGAATAGGAGAAGGAATATCTGAAGGAGGATATCCACAATATCCAAAGTGTTTTTTCTTTTCATGTTGTACTAAACCATTTTTTGTTTTATATGATTTATTGCATATGATGCAATTTTCCAAGTTGCTGTTATCATCATTATTGTTGTTATGTTGTTTTCTTGATTAAAAAATTTAAAAAAATTAGCAAATTAAAAATTACAAAATAAAATTTCCTTCAACTAACTAGTTGCAATCCTAAGACCCTACTCACTATATGTATATATAAAAAAGTGATTGGTTTACTAATAAAAGTGATTGGTTTGTTATTAAAATAGGGATATTTACTCCAAAAATAACAAATTGAGGGGCAGGTTACACATATCAAGATACCCCAAAACAGTATAAAATTATGTAACCTTGCAGAAATCGGGTGGATATGTTGTGACAGTTAAAACCCCTAGTACTAGTAGTTTTATGTGGCGTTAAGTTCCCATATTCATATTCATTTTTCTATTATATAGCATTTTATTGCTATTTATAGTACTAATATTAAAGAAAATTTTTTTAATTTGAATTTTAATTTTAATTTTATCATTCATTCATTAGATTATTATTTTATCTGCATTATAAAAAGCTATTTACAAGAAAAAATAAAAATATTTTGCAAATATTATTCGACTATTATTATTGGCATAAACAATAGCATAATCAATATTATTCTCACTTTCAAATGAATATAACGAAATTTTTCTTATGTTGAAATTGAAGTATAATCTGATTTATCATAATATGTCGATTGAAATTTAGCTATGTGGAAAAATTTTAAAGAAATTAATTTATAATTCTTTTAATTTATCAACCAACCAATTAATAAAAAACTTACATATTCCAACAATGGTCCAACAAAGGTGATCATCAATTTCTTCAATAATGGGATTTGATTCATTATTATTTTTATTTGGGGATGATGCTGTTTTAAATGGTTCTTTTGTGAATTCTACATTTTGCATTTGAAATATACGTGATGATTGATATCTTAGAAAAGGTGATAATGAGCTTATTGTACAAGCATCGGATGATCGTGTTGCATCAACTTTTAATGGTCCGGAAGCACTTAAATAAAGTAGTCCATTAGAATGTCCAGTGCAATTATTATTACCAGTAATCTTGTTCTTATTATTACTATTATTAATACTATTACTATCATTTGGACCGGCATATCTTAATGCTACCTTTTGCATTTGACTAACAGGACCAATTGCATTTTGCGAAATACGACTTTTTTCGACTTTACAAATAATCAATTTATCAGATCTAAATCCTGTCTCGGGATGTGATAAAACTATTTCAGATCCATAAGTAATAAGTGGAGTTTTATTGTTGCTATTGTTATTATCATTATTATTAATTGTAGTGTTAGTGTTGTTGCGAGATTTACTCGTGGAATTATTGCTATTATTATTATTATAATTGATAAAATCATTGTTATAATTTTGATTTAAAAGAGTGATTTTAAATGGTGACCAAGAAGTATTTGTTGCGCATAATATTCCATTTTCAATTTCCAAATATTTAGTTCGTACAGTTTGTGAATTGATACGATTAAATAGCGAAACTTCAGATCCAGACAAAATACATAATGAAATATTTTTTGCTTTAGCTGATTTTTTTGATGGTTTTGATATGATAGTAACAGGTGATGAATCAATTGTTAGATGTGGAATCGAGGATTCTTTTTCAAATAATTTCAATTGAAGTGTAAAAGTTTTAGATTTAGCAGTTCCATTAACGTACAAATATTTGAATGTACCATTCATATCGTCGTCAAGTGACACTTTATGTTCTGATGAATTTATATCGCTTTCACATAATACTGCCATCGATAGTTCAAGTTTTTTTTGGTTAACATTAAAATTATTACTATTGTTGCTATAGTTTGATGATTGTTGTCTATTAAAGATTACTACCGGTGGCGGACACAAAAATCTTTTCTCACTACCATAAGATTTTTGTGCAACAGTCGTGTGATGACATGAAACTGTTATCGGTTGATACCGATAACTGGGTAATTTCATTGGCATTGATGTTGATGATGTCGTAATTGCTGTTGACGGCGAT